ATTGTATTATTTTAACGACAACTCGTAAAATGCCTATGTCTTGCATAAACACTGATGGTTAACTGGGGCCAAGGGCTGGAATGGTTGCCAGGTTTTCCATCCTTAGCTATAACTTGCCGAAGTCAGTTGGTCTGTTTTTGCTTTCACGGTTTCACTTTTGGTTCCTCTGTTTTAAGGTGCGCTTTATTGATCCGCTGCGTGTTTTACTGGGCCCATAAAAAATCTGAACAAACTGAACAATGACACACACACTCACATAAAAAAAAGGCATTTGGTAAAGGGCTTGTGGTATCTCTTTCGTGCGAATGTGCGAATTCTTGACATTTTCTCTGTGTTTGCTGGAACCTGTTGCCTTCTTCAGAGGTGTCCGTCTCGTGTTGCCCTCTCTGTCAATTTTTCAACGTCATTCTGACGACGTGGTTCCTTGGTTACTTTTTGCTCCTGTTTTTAAGTCCTTATGCAGGTAATCCTCGACTTACCATCGCAAAACATTTCCGCTGCTAAGCAAGACAGGGGTTAAGGGGAGTTTTGTTCCGTTTTACAACCTTTCTGGCCACTGTTGTTTAAGTGAATCACTTGGCAGTTGTTAAGTCGGGAACATGGTTGCTAAGTGAATCTGGCTTCCCCGTTGACTGTGCTGGTTGGAAGGTCAACGAACAGGAGCCTGGGAGACTGCAACCGTCATAAATATGAGTCGGTTGCCAAGCATCGGAATTTTGATCGCGTGACTACGGTCGTAAGTGTGGAAAAACAATCCCGAGTCACTTTTCTTTAGTGCCATTGTAACTTGGGTCATTAAACGAACTGTTGTAAGTCGAGGACCACCTGTATTTCTCTGTCTCCGGACTTCTGCAATGTGTTAACCACTGTCATCCTACAATGTGCTTCTCTGTGATGTTCACCAATTGATTGTCCTTGTGACCGTTGATATCTTTCTCTTTGTCAGAGGGGCCTTGATTCTTTTCCTGGATTTTGTGGTCTGCTAAAACTTGGTGGCGGGTTGGATGATTTGATTCCCTAGCCTTCTGGAGCCTCCTCTGCCCCTTTTCTATCCTCACAGGTGCTGTCCTTAAAGTCACCGTCACTGGGCCTTCTCATGTGGTAGAAAACCAACCTGTCACTTTTCATTGTTCCTCTTTGGGTTTCAATGTTTCCTACACCTGGTTGAAGGGAGGCCAACCGATTGAAGCAGGAGGGAAGGTCGTTTTGAAGAACAACAGCCAGACCCTCACGCTCCTTTCAACTTCTCGGAGTGATGCAGCCAGCTATACCTGTTCCGGGAAAAATAGCTTCTCGGCCAACAGCAGTGAGCCTCACCGGCTTGAAATCTTCTGTAAGTTTAGGCTGGAGGTGTCCCTTCCCATCCAGCCAATGGCTTACCAACAGTTCATCTTCTTTTAATGACCCCATAATCCCTTGCGGGGTGGAGACTGGGCAACCGAATGGGGCTAGCAGAATGTTTATTGGCCGGATGCCCTTCCTGTCACCAATACAGAGGTTTTCTTTTCAGCACATATATTCTCGTTGTGCCCAGAGAGAGAAATATCTGCCTCTACCTAGGATCGAACTCACGGCCTCCTGATTGTGTGAGGCAAGAGCTTCCACCTCTAGGCCACCATTCTAATGGCTCACCATCAGTTGCCCCCTTTTAATAGACCGTTGGGGAGGGGGGGAGTGCGATGGCTCAATGGTTAAAGACACTCAGCTTGTCAACTGGAAAGCTGACAACCTGGGTTAGATACCCGAGCGCCACGGGATGGGGTGAGCTCCCATTACTTGCTGCAGCTCCAGCCCATCTAGCTGTTTGAAAGCATGCAACTGCGAGTAGATAAATAGGTGCCACTTTGGGGGGGAAAGTCACAGCGTTCCATGTTTGATGTATAGCTATACTGGCCCCATGACCACAGAAAATCAAATCACAGAAATTGATCAAAAAATTATGATGATCACTACCCCCTAGTCAGACAAAACTGGACAGGGAAAACCTTTACTTTTAATACACTTTCAATACAGTGGTACCTGGGTACTCATCATTAATTGATTCTGGGGTGCATACCAAAGATGATGAGTACTAAACAATTTTTCCCCGTAAGGAATAATGTAAATAGGTTTAATTTGTTCCTGAACCAAAGACAATGCACATTTTTATGGCAATATGTAAAAAGATAGGGTCAGATGTTATTACTTTACATGAGAAATAAGCCTAAAAATTAAGGCATGCTTAGATTAGACAAGATAAAAACTTCACTTTGCCTGTACTGATGGATGAAAACAGTACAAAAATACACAAAAATGATCACAAAAGCTAGAATAAGACAGCAAAGGGATGTGTACAGGGCAAGAGCTACTGGGTGAAAGGGCAACTGAGAAGTTCCAGTTTGTATGTTTAGTACTGAACAAATAACAAGTACCGGGACAAAATTTTCTCATCGAGATGCATTGAGTACCAAATTCAATGTGTTTCAAGGTAGCTGGGTACTGAGATACCACTATAAATGCCTTTTGTCCCCTGGATAACTGAAGGAAGGAGAACCAACCTCAGATAAATTTGCTTAGCTTAGCCATGTACTTGGTTCTAGTTCTCTCTCTGTCTTTCCTTGGAATGGTTGATTTCTGGTTAATCTGCATCCAAGGAAGGATGAGACTTTGGCCCTTCTATTTAGTTTATTTTTTTTCCTTGCCCTGCCCTGGGTGGCCATTATTCTTTCAGCCCAGGGAGTTGAAAGACATTCAAGCTGAACCTGAAGGCATGATATGTTGTTGATTTGAATTCAGGATCCAGTCCTGTAATCATTTACTAGTGGCCAACAGGCATAAAGAGCCAGTTTGGTCTAGTGGTTAAGGCATCAGGCTAGAAAACATGAGACTGTGAGTTCAAGCACTGCCTTAGCCTTGAAAACCAGTTGGGTGATTTTGGCCTAGTATCTCTCCTTCAACCCAACCTCTCTCAAAGGACCATCTAACCAGCTCTTTGCTCCTCAAATAGATGCCAAATAAAAGCTCAACAATAGGAACCAGCTTCTTTGTTGAGCTTGAAACTAGCTTGAATTAAAGCTTTGAGCTTGAAAATGATCAAAAAATAGAAGTTATTGTTGTTCTTGGGTTTTATTCAGATGTTCTGGGATTTCTCCCTATAGAGCCAGCCTATGGTTACATCAAAAATGTAGATTGTACTTTCAGACAGGTTTCATACCTTGCCATGGCCAACTCACTGCAAGATAACTCTCTGTAGGACAATTCAATGCTGAATTAATTGTTTCAAGTACTTTTATTATTAGTGACTACATTTTCGTTGAAATTATTGTAACTCTTATTTATGGATTGACTTTCTTTATTTTATTATTATCGGCCACAGCCATGTCAACATTCATTTAACTTTTGTATTTGTTGAATTGTCCTGCAGTGAGCTTGTCCCATGGTGAATTGGCCGCGGGGAGTTGTTCTACTCCTTTTGCAAACATAATGCAATAATAACACCGGTAGTTTTCCTAAGCAGCATGATTTTTTCTCACCAACATATGACTTTCCTATGTTTGCTCCAGACGGGCCTGAACACCCCGTAATCAGCCCCTTACAACAAGTTTATAATGAACATTCCACTCTCAACCTCGTCTGCTCTGCCGTCTCTAATCCACCTGCAAAGTTTTCTTGGTATCTTAATGGAGAACTTCTGGAACATCAGAACGATTCTCACCTGGCCCAGCGTCTTACTCTGAAGAATGCTGGGAACTATACTTGCAAAGTTACCAATGTTGAAAGTGGACTTTCGAAAGCCACCGTCCTGGAGATCAGCATCCGGGGTGAGTAGCTTGGATGGCCAAGCTCACCCAAATCTTTTGGAGGACTTGCTGTGGGTGATTTTTTTTTTTTTCTGGGTATCTCTTTGGTGTGACTCTGTCTTCGCTTCCTGTCATCTTGGAACGTCCGTTTCAGAGCTCTGCATGGATTTGATTTTGGACCTTCCTGCATTTTTATTTGAGTTTTTTTCTTTCTTCTCATGGTACTCCATCCTGGGATTTTACCATGACTACCTCAACAGACTGTTCCTCTTTTATTTTGATTCCTTTTCTTATTCTGTATCTGTGATCTTGGTAGACTAGATTCCATCTGATTCCTCTAAGGACCGAATGTCATTCCAGTATAAATTAGATCCCTTCAACATGTTGCCTTCAAAAGTTCTCCTTTATGGTCACAGATGTTGGCCTATTTTGAGCCTGTTCTAATAGTCAGCCAAACTTAGTTCTTTGCCTTGTGTTTTCCAATACTGTGACCTTGTATTTTCTTTCCTCACCATGTGAGATCTCAAATAGTTAAAACAGCAACTTTTGTTAGTCTTTCTTCTTTGTACCTTCTCTTTAACCCTGTTTCATTTATATCTTTGGCACTGACAACTGGCCAGCTTCTGGCTAAGTTTTCAAGCCCACCCACTGATATTCACTCGGACTCTATAACTGTTCGATATTCTTTTCTTCCATTTATTTATCTGCCTCAAACTTGAGGTTTATCTCCACCAGTTTCCTTCTTGGTGGTTGTAGAATGTCTCAGAAGTGGAACAACAGTGAAACAACAGAGACGTTGTTCCTGAAAACATAAACCTCATATTTTCCTTTTTTTTTTTTAATTGCTAAGTTTTCAACGTAACCTCATTTTGGCCTCGCCTTCTCCCAACTTCCCATTTTAGTCATCGTTCTCTATGCAGCATGTGAGGTACCTTGACAAAATCTTGCAGTCCAGGAGAAGAGGATGTGTATCAAAGTTCTCCATCTTTTGTTGTTGTTGTTCTGTTGCTTCATACCTCACACCTGATAGTCCGACGTTTCTTAAACGCATTGAGGCTCACCTCTCTGCCACAGATCTGACTGCACAGCCCCTTCTGAATGGAAATTCAAGATTAAATCTTGAAGTCCTGCGTCAATGATCCATGATGAAGAGTCTGACAGTGACGTCAGGTGTTTGTCTTAAATAACAATGACGTCCCACCTGTTTTCTCTTCCTAACAGAGGCCATCAATCATATCTCCGTCAGAGACCCTGGCAAGATTGTCGAGAATAGCACCACATATCTCAACTGCACCGCCTCAGGCTTTAATGTTTCCTATTATTGGCTTAAGGGGAACCAGAGGCTGCAGGCGGGAGGCCACATATTTTTAAGCACCAATGGTCAAAACCTGATCTTGAGTCGAACACGCCGTCAGGACTCGGGCCTCTACACTTGTTGTGGGATTAACAGTTTCTCTAACAACTCCGCCAACTACAAACTGAATGTCTTTTGTAAGTCTGGTTTTGGCGGGGGGGGGGGGGGGGGGGAGGGGTTTGTAGAGATTTGGGGATTTGGGGAACGAGTCCGCCCCCCACCCCCCAAGCAAGCTTGTGTAAGAGTCTTAACTTCTAAATTGGGGGTGTATGAGAGACGTTGAACAGATCCGTTCGAGGGATCCAGTGTTCGGAGTGCATTCCCTTGACCCGGTCACTTTTCTCCCCCTTGGCCACACACCAACCACCCTAGGTAGCCCTCAACTTACAACAGTTCGTTTAGTGACCGTTCAAACGTACAATGGCACTGGGGAGGAAAAGGGATTTATGACCGTTTTCCACAGTTACAACCTTCGCAGCAACCCCATGCTCGTGTGATCGAAATTCAGACACCTGATACTTGACTCGTATTTATGATGGTGGCAGCACCCCCGGGTCAGGTGATTCAACTTTTGCGACCTTCTGACAACGGGGGAAGCCAGTTTCGCTTAACAACCGAGTTACTAATTTATCAATGGTGCTGTGATTCACCTCACGACTGAGGCAAGAAAGGTCATAGAAGGAGGCAAGACTCACTTAATGAATATCTCCATTAACAATGGACATTTGGGGACTCCACTGTGGTCGTAACTCGAGGACTACCTGACCAGCTGTCCAAATCCCTTGAGTTACTGTTTAGATAGGTCGTTTTGCAAGATTCATTTTGATCTGGAGCCGTGTCGTGTGTATCTTAACAGGTCCATCAGTTTGGGAATTTGCATCACTCCCGAATATAATAATCTGACTAAACAGGAGAAAGCTATCATTAGACAGGATGACAGGATCACCTCGGGCTACATATAATAATATAATTGCAAACACAAATACTGAGCAAGCGTTAAGCGTCATCTGCCAGTTGTAGGTTGAATGGAGAAGGACACAGCTTCTTTGTGGGAAACTCAAAAAATCTCTATCCCTTGAACCAGAGGTGTGTATTCAGGAGGTTCTGACCAGTTCTGGAGAACCAGTAGCAGAAATTTTGAGTAGTTCAGAGAACCAGCAAATGCCACTTCTGACTGGCCCCACCCCCATCTCTTCTCCACCTCCCATTGAGTCCCAGCTGATCGGCTGGGTCTCCTTCTGTTGCCCTGCACAGGAGAATGGAGCTGGAAAGCAGGTTAGTGGGGTGGGGAGGGAATGGGGATTTTGCAGTATTCTTCCCCTGCCACACCCACCAAACCACGCCTACATAAGTAAAAAAAATCTGAATCCCACCACTGCTTTGAACCTCAAAGTTCTGGTTGAAACAGAGACAATCCAGGCATCATTATAGTATGAAACTCACCATCTGTTTTGGGCAGTTGGAATCTCTCCAGCAACCTGAACAAAAAACTCTTAAAATCCTTAAGTAGAGATCGGTCAGGCAGTCAATCCATCAGAATCAATCAATCCCTTCAAATTTTTCTTCCCTATCGTAGATTAGCATAAAACAGATGCCGGGGGGGGGGGGGGGGATAAGGGGGTGGGGGGGAAACATAGTTATTCTAAAAACGTCTCAAAAAGGGTTAGAGTTAATACAGATAATCCCGCGGTCCAGGAAATAAAAACAGATTGATCCGATAATAACATTTGGTGATTAAAACAAGTCAGAATGAGCAGGATATTTAGTGCAGAGTGGAAATAATAATTCCTGGTGAGCCTCTGTGACGAGATGACAGTTGTCGGGACGTGTAACCAGGAACAGGAGTTGAGTTCAAAGCAGGGGTGGGATGCAAATATTTTTACTACTGGTTCTGTGGGCGTGGCTAGGTGGGCGTGGCTAGGTGGGAGTGGCCATGTGACTAGGTGGTATGGCTGCTTTTTTTTTTTTTTTTTTTCCAACCCCCCCCCCGTTTGGGGTTTTTTTTTTGCCTCTTGGGCCTCAGGGAAGCCTTCGGGGGGGTGTTTTTGCTCCCAGGAGGCTTCCCTGAGGCCCAGGAAGACAAAAACGGAGTGGGGGGGGCACACAGGGGCACAATTTGCCGATTTTCCGAACCGCACAGAATTGTAACAACCAGTTCTATAGAAGCGGTCCGAAACAGTAAAATCCCACCCTTGGTTCAAAAGCCCTTCCAAGTTTATTACATGCTACCTATATGCAAGAATCTGGCCTACAGATGGCTGAGGCAGATAATTTGTGGGAGCGTAATGATTCCAAACTGCTGGTACATTTGACCCCGCCTTCTCGGTCATATCCTACAGCCATAGAGAATAACATGTTCCATCAATTTTTCCTCCACTGCAGAGACACAATCTCTCTTCAAAGGTTTTTTTTTTTTCCTCTTGAAGTAGATGTCAGTTGAGGAAATGTGAGTCCTTGTAAGCAAGCCCACACTTTACCGTGTTGTGAGGCATTCCATTCTGTACACCTTTTGCAACTTCCTAGATATGGCAGTATTTCTCCCTGCTACATGAAATAGGTAGCCCCCTTGCCAAAATGTTATTTTAGGAGTGGGGACATTTCTTCTTGTTTTAAACAAGTCCTTTCTGCTAAAACTGCTGCTTACAGTCTACACCCAAAGAACCAGAAGGAATGACTTCTGCATATTTAAAGGGCAGTTTCATTTTTCAGTTTCTTCAATGCCCCACCTGGGCTTATTATTATTTTCGAAATGCTGTTAAAGGCTTTCTGAGGGGAGAGGGGGGTTGGCTTACAGGCTACCTGTAACTTGAGAAACTAACATCAGGCTAATGAAACTAGCATGATAGTAAAACAGGAATTGGAAACACACAGACCCCCATCCATCCTTCTAGCTGGCGAGCTGGCTTAGCTGTCCATGTTAGCTTTCTTGTTTTTCTCCTCTCTCTGGACAGGCAGTGGTGGGATTCAAAAAATGCTACTACCGGTTCTGTGGGCATGGCTTTATGGGCGTGGCAGGGGAAGATTACTGCAAAATCCCATTCCCTCCCCACCCTACTAACCTGCTTTCCAGCTCCGTTCCCCTGTGCAGGGCAACCAAAGAAGACCCAGCCGATCAGCTGGGACTCGGGAGGCGGAGAATAGATGGGGGCAGGGCCAGTCAGAGGCTATATTTTCCAGTTCTCTGAACTACTCAAAATTTCCGCTACCGGTTTCCCAGAACTGGTCAGAACCTGCTGAATACCACCTCTGTGGCCAGGGTATCCCAAGGGAGGGTCCCTGGGCACCCTGAGAATGTTAAACCGTCTACATTAGATGCCCCCAAAGTTGAATTATAACAAGCCAAATCAGAGTCTTTCCACCTTCTCTCCTTTTTTTGCAAAATAATTTGTGGTTCTGAACTCTTGGTGGGCGTGAAACAGATTACATTTAGCCTCAGTGGCACAATGGTTAGAGTGCAGTACTGCAAGCTATTCCTACTGCAATTTGGCAGATCGAATCCCACCAGGCTCAAGGTTGACTCAGCCTTCTGTCCTTCCGAGGTGGGTAAAATGAGGACCCAAATTGTTGGGGACAATATGCTGATTCTGTAAACCGTAAAGCACTATAAAGTGGCATATAAGTCTTAAGTGCTATTGCTATTGCTACAAATGGATATTGAGACCTCCTCCAAGGTAGTCCCAGGTAGTCCTCAACTTACAGCCATTTGTTTAGCACCCATACTAAGTTGCAACAGCACTGGAGGAAAAAAGCGACTTGTGGCTGGTCCTCGAACTTACAACCGGCACAGCATCTGCACAGTCACGCCATCAAAATTCAGGAGCTCGGCAACGGACATGTATTTATGATGGCGGTAGCATCCTGGGGGGGGGGGGGGGTGTCACACGATCATCTGACCCGGCTTCCAAAAAACAAAGTCAATGGGGAAGCTGGTTAACGACTGCATGCACTTAACGACTGCATGATTCTCTTAACAAGCACAGTGATTTGCTTAACTGTGGTGGAAAAGATGGTTAAAAATTGGATGTGGCTCGCTTAACAACCACAAATGGAAATGCTGGTCCCAATGGTGTTCGTAAGTTGAGGACTACTTGTATTGTTGAGGACTATTTGTATATGAGCCACAGTGGCGCAGTGGTTAGAGTGCAGTACTGCAGGCTACTTCTGCTGCCTGCCGGCTGCCTGAAATTTGGCAGTTCAAATCTCACCACGCTCAAGGTTGACTCAGCCTTCCATCCTTCCGAGGTGGGTAACATGAGGATCCAGATTGTTGGGGGCAACAGGCTGACTCTAAACCGCTTACAGAGGGCTGTGAAGCACTGTGCAGCCGTGTATAATTAAGTGCTATTGCTATTTAGGCTGATGAATTAAATAGCTCCTGGATATGAAGGACAAACTCAGTATGGGAGGGCAGCACTCCCCAATATAACAGGGGTCTCCAACCCTGGTAATTTCCACTGCCAAAATTCCTCAGCTGGCTGTGCTCAGGAATTCTGGGAGTTGAAGTCCACAAGTCATAAAATTGCCAGGGTTGGAGACCCCTGTTATATGATCACATGGATGCAAAGAAGAACATCGTGGCCCCATGCCAACCACACAGGCATGCGTCATTCCATCTCGTAGGTTTTTGATCGAATGTTGCTTCTGAAAACTCTCCTCCCCGAGTTCCCTGGCCTTCCTCAACCTGTAACTCTCCTATATTTGCTCCAGATGGGCCTGATGCCCCAGTCATCAGCCCCAGTGGGCAATTTTATGCAGAAGGCTCCAATCTCACCCTCTCCTGTCAAGCTGACTCCAACCCACCTGCTGAATATACATGGTCCTTCAAGAACTCTAGACATTCAGGGGGGATCTATCAACTCTTTCGTTTGTCTTCTGCCAACAATGGGACCTATACATGTGAGGCCTCCAACAACGAGACCAAACTTTCCCAGTCTAAAGTCCAGCCTATCTGTGTCCTGGGTGAGTATATTCATGGTTGTATGGACTTCTGGTCTCCATAGATGACTTCCGTTAAGTGGGTTGATCTATCTGAAGCTAGTAATTTATATACCTAAACCTGAGCAATTTGCCTCCAGAAGTTGTAGATGCTCCATCACTGGAGATTTGACATCCCTTTGTCCAAAATGGCACAGGGTCTTCTACCTGAGCTGTTATTCTTTATTCTGTATTTCCTATCTCCATGGGACTTGTCTGGATCATCCAGATCCAGTCCCAAAAGTCTCTTTTCCACGTAGCGTTCTATTTATTGTACATGTTTGGGTATTCTTGTCTCCTTGACAGCTCCTTCTCCTCCATCTACGACTCCTTTGGGTGTGTTGACAGGGGTTGTGTCCACAAACGATCCCGCGTGACTGGGTTGGATTTAAACCGCTAAAGCCTTACGACGAAATCTTCAAAAGTCAACATTTGGAACACCACTTTTCATTGGGTTGTGTTTTTCCCCCCCATGAATTCTTGTTGCTTTAGCCAACTCCTTGTATGTGTTTGTGTTTGTGACTCTTCTTCCTAAGATACGTCCTTGTGTCCTGTAACTGGATTTCAGGTTTTTTTTTTTTATGCAACTGTTGACTGTTTCTTTCAAAGGTTTGGAGTTCACCACCTTTCGCTGTCATTCTTGGTGGTTTTAAGATGATAATTGCGAAATTTGTACGGTGGACATTAGAAATTGACTTGTCTCCTGTCGCTTCAAACTTCTCCAATATTGTTGCATTTTTTTTCATTCTGAACTATCAATGTATATAGTCCTGTAATTTCTCTTACTTTTTTGTCTTTTTGTCCTTTTGGTCATCCTTAAATGATATTGAGGGAACTGAAGTTTAGAAAACCATCCATGCGGCGTCTTCTTCCTTTTCCCAACTGTTCATTTCTCTGACGGAGAAAATGTCTAACTTTATCACTGCGATTTTCCAACATTATCTTAATAGCAAACACCCACCAGGTTAGCAAGTCGTTAGGACTGGATACCTGCCCATCACTTTGGGAATATTCATCTTTAGAAAGTTTTATCTGTAATAAAATAGAATAATTCTGAAGGTTGAAAGTTGTGTCTGATCATTCCTTTCCTATTAGTCTTAGTTCTCGAAAGTCCTCGAAAGAGTGAATAAAGGTAAGATGCTATTCCCAAAAGACATGTATATAAGTTTTTTTTTTTATCAATTTCAAAATTACTGTCATAGGGTAATAAGGTTATGTAAATGCCAGTTAAGCTTTAGCAGAGTTCCTTCACATTAATAGTCAACCTCTTCTGAAGAACAGTTGCAGGAACTGGGTATGTCTAGTTTAATTAAAAGAAGGACCAGGAGTGACATGATAGCAGTATTCCAATATTTGAGGGGCCGCCACAGAGAAGAGGAGGTCAACCTATTCTCGAAAACACCTGAAGGCAGGACAAGAAGCAATGGATGGACACTAACCAAGGAGAGGAGCAATCTAGAACTAAGGAGAAATTTTGTTTCAGTGAGAACAATTAATCAGTGGAACAACTTGCTCTAGAAGTTGTGGGTGTTCTAACACTGGAGGTTTTCAAGGAGAGATTGGACAGCCATTTGTTTGAAATGGTATAGTGCAGTGGTGGCTAAACTTTTTGGGCTCCTGTGCCAAAAATTATGCGCGCGCTTGCACGCTCAGGTGCCAGCACCAGAAGGCAATGCGCACCCTCGACACCCCATACGTATGCGCGCACAATCCCCACCCATCCCCGTCGCCTTTTTACCTGCAAATGTGCCTCACGGCTGATTTTCAACTGATTTGAGGCCTTTTTCGGCCTTCCAGAGGCTTTAGGATGGGGAGGGCAAAAACGCCCCTATCCCCCACTTGGTGCAGGAGGCCGACTAGGCCATGCCCACCCATCAACTGGGCAGAGAACCCTTTGCTAAAATTTGTGAAGACCACCCCTGGGAAGCAATATGCTCCGTCCCATATTTGGGTAGACCAGGTTGCCCTGATTAAAAAAAACAACAACAACACTTAAATGGAGAAAGCTAAACATTTATAAAATCTGTAGAGCCCTGATAATTAAAAAAAAATTGTACAAGCACCTCCAATAATAACTAGACAAACAGCCTTTGCGGTTAGTTGCCAAGCTAATGGACCACAAGACCCTAGAAATATTTTTCTGGTTTCTGGTTTCCACCAACCTTTGGGAGCCAGGCTGATGCTTGGTGCTTTCTATTGTCCCTGGTGATTTTATAACATGCCTTCTAGGACTTTGTACCATTGTAAGATGGCTTCTTGGCAAGAGAAGCAAAACAGCAAATTAGACTGAAGGGAAAAAGCTAATTGGAGCGATGATATCTAAAGTTGATTCCTCCAAGGCTTTGGGTGCTCTTTTTTCTTTCCTGGCATCTGTAAATGGTTTCTTTGCTTTGAGGTTGACCTGATCCACCCTTTCATCTGTGTTTCACCCCCAGACCATCCCAGTGTCCCTAAAATGGCTATTGGGGGGGGGGGTGTTGATTTTCCACAGTATCATAATTTGAATATCCAGACATACCCTGTTTCCCTGAAAATACGACCTATCCTGAAAGTAAGTCCTAGCTTGATTTTTACACCTGTGCCCCATATAAGCCCTACCCCACAAAATAAGCCCTAATTAAGATCCCGCTCACTCCAGGGTGCACAGGTAAAAATTAAGCTAAAGATGGGGGGTGGAGCTGCCCTACTGCTTACCAACTCAATCTGGAGCTCTGTTATCGGCTGCAGAGGCCTTCAGAAAAGCTTTGCCAACTGCAGAAGAAGTCCCTGAAGGCCTCTGACCGCGAAAAGGAGGCCAGGGGTGACACACGCAAGTGAGGTTAGTCAGTGGATGACATCCCCTGAAAATAAGACCTGGTGCTTTTTTTTGGTGGCAAAAAATATCTAAGATAAGGTCTTATTTTCGGGGAAACACAGTACATACCAGCAAAATAAGGCATCCTGAATAATATTGTAGCCCACGCTGCCATTTATATATCTATATTTTATTTTATTTTCCCTTCATTGGACTCATGAAATTCAATTACTAAAATAAGAGACAGTGTGATGTTCTCCAGAGCCACTAGGGAACATGCTGGCTAATGCAGACATATCTGGATGGAAGCCACTGTGTTTAATTGCACTCCTTTTTTTTAAAAGAAATCTGCTGATATTATGCCCTTTTAAGTTGGCAGCAATCCACATTGGCAATATATTGCAGTGATCACAGGAACTATCTCACCCCCAGTTTATGAAAAACAGTCGGATGGCAATGCTTACTAGAATTGTTATCTTTTACAAAAAGAAAATGAGGCATGGCGCTTGGCTAAAGGTATAGCTGCTGCTTGAGAAAATTCCTGTACGTGTCTTCCATGCAGAGAAATTTTATAAAACGAGGATTTTTTTTCTCTCCCTTGTAATAATATCCATGGCTTGTTATGTACTTGCTTTTCTTTCTCTCGTTCTTTCTTTCTTTTATGCTTGTTTTGAATGCGTTCAGCTCTTCAAGAAAACAAGAGCTGCGTAATTATTATTTATGTCTTCCATTGTCTCTTCCCCGTAGCAGAATAGTCTCTGGATCCTTTTTCTAAACAAAAGAAACACCCAGTAAAAGTTAGAAAGCAGGACATAGGAAAAGAGAATAAACTAGTGGATTACAACTTTCTTCTTTTTTTAAAAAAAGAACCCCTTTCTTCTGGGCTTTTAAAATTCTCCGTAAAGCGTGCAGTTTAAATTCTAAGACTGTAAAGGGACAAAAAAAAAGGTCAGTCAGTATCAGAGAGCTTGTTGATTTAACAATGGCCTTGTTTAGCAACAGAAATTCTGGTCCCAATTTTTGGTTGCAAGTAGAAGACTGCCTTTAAAGCCCAGTGGAGTGACTGGGTGTGTTGAACCCATAGATGGGAGGTTGAGTTGGTCGGTTTCAGGGCTGGGGTTCAAATTTCTTAACCGATTCTATGGGCGTGGCCTAATTTGTGGGTGTGGCTTGGTGGTCATGTGACTGGGTGGCGTGCTTTGCTGACTGGGCATGGCTTGTGTTATAAATTATACAAGCCACGGCCAGTATATATTGATAATATGCTATATTAAAACTATTTATGTACATATTTATTTTTTTATTTAAAAAAAAGATCTACTTTTACCCAAAATCAGGCAAAGCAGGAACGGAGTGTGTCCAGTCACACTTAGCCAATAAAGTATTCTATTCTATTCTATTCTATTCTATTCTATTCTATTCTATTCTATTCTATTCT